TTTTTATTTAAAAAACCGGTTTGGGGGGGGGGGGGCAGGGGGAAGGAATGGGGCGATACTGGAGTCCTGCTTTAAGTGTGAGGCACTGACAGTCAATATATACATTTCAGCTTTGGCATTTACTTCTGTGTCTCTTGCAGGGATCTTTGGAGTGAAATTAACTGGCTGTTAGTGGGGTTTGGCCAGCAAATATGCCTCCCTGTGTCCCCTCGATGTTCCGAATGTCTGAACAGAGACATCTGTCCAGGAGCCAAGAAGAAGAAAGATTTTTTTTTATAGATGGAGCCTCATCCCGCTATACACTAGCTGAGGTGGTGTCACAAGACTGCAGAGAACACTAGGTGTGAATGTTAGTGATAGACCAGGTAGGATATTTGTCTAGGAACCATCCAATGATATTATCATCTCTCTATGTACAGACATTTATATATTTCCACGGCTTCTGTAAATGTTTTTTATTTTTAATTCTGAAGTTTTGGAGTTTCTTTTCCTTGCCATCATCTGTTTGTACATTGATGTTTAGTCATTTCTTATAATAAATGTTCCTTTTAAAGGGAATTTGCAGTAAGTACATCCAGTACGTCATGTTATTATCGGGTAGTTGTTGACATGAATGTTACATCTTTACAGCCATCATTATTTCATCATAACACATATAGACATGTGAAGGTCAGCCACTAGAGCAAGCACTCGGATCCCCCCGAAGTCTGCAAGGTGAGCCCAAAAGACTAGTCACCGGGGTCTCCCTGCAGCTGATCTTTCCATGCCTTGTTCTGCACTGTGTTGTGGTGGCCATCTTTGCTTCTTCATGTCATAACTGCCCCCCTAATGCCTGGTGGGATCTCTGCATTCTTCTTTATTTTATTACACATTGTAATACAAATTAGTACCCTCCAGTAACAACGTAGCAATTCAAAGCAGAAGAATGTTTTCTTAACCCTTGCAGCGGGGCTACCCGTGTACTGTAAGGGTTAAGTGCTCATTTTTGTCTAGGTGCTAAAAAATAGTTATATTCACCTGAACCACAGAGCCGGCTGGCAGCTACTCCTGTCCCTGAAGTCTCCTCCTCTGCTGCAGGGAGGGTAATGTTCCTCGGCGTCCTCCCATCACTGTGTATAGAACATGGATCCTTAGAGAGCTGCAGCGGAGGGGGAGAGAGACTCCAGGGAGCGTTCTAAGAGCAAGCCACCTTCAAGGATCTGGTGAGTATAACTTTTTTATCGGCCGCGGCCACTGCTCGGGTATCGGCCGCGGCCACTGCTCGGGTATCGGCCGCGGCCACTGCTCGGGTATCGGCCGCGGCCACTGCTCGGGTATCGGCCGCGGCCACTGCTCGGGTATCGGCCGCGGCCACTGCTCGGGTATCAGATGCGGTCACTGTCTGAATACAGTAGCCAGCAGTGCAGACTCCACTATGCGTGCTGTTTTTGCATGCATCAGAAATCAAGTGACTTCTGTGGTTCAGCCTACATGGCTGCATGAGAGAAATGTGTATGACTAACCATAGTGTGGAAATAGCAGAGGGTATTGGGATAAGAGGAGTCATCAGTAATGTGTAATCCACAGCACTCCTGACTGGAATCCCATAAGATAGATGGGTGCTGGTATGACCTGAGGATGGCGCCGCGTTATCACAGAAATGTCCAAAAGAAGTCACCCGCACTCCAAGGTCCAATGTGTCCTCTTTTATTCAGACGCTATACAGACATGGCGGCACAGTGTAAAAGCAACGTTTGGGGATCGAACATGGTCTTCATCACTCAAATATTGAGGCCACTGTGTTTGCCTGATGAAGGGACCATGTTTGGTCCTGAAACGCTGCTTTTACACTGTGCCGCCATGTCTGTATAGCGTCTGAATAAAAGAGCGTTTAACACATTTGACCTTGGCGTGCGGGTGACTTCTTTTGGACATTTTAGGATAAGAGGAGGAACGATTATTGTGGGAAAGGGGGGGATAGGGTTAAAAATAGAGGGAATAGGGGAAGCGGGGTATCTGGATCTTCTCAGTGTGGAAGTCAGGGCGGGAAATACACACATGTACTTGGGAAAGCTTTTATTATGCACATAGCAGTTTACAATGTATTTTTATTTCCGTGTGTCATAGATAAATGTGGTCAGATATGCGCCTTATATAATTACAGGTTTAAAAGTACAAAAATATGATTCCAAACAGAGCTACATATAGGCAGCTGAATGGCCGTCTGCAGTCAGAAATTTCCAATCCGTAGCAATAAAAAAATATCGTCCATTCGGTAGGCATGTAGGTGTCCTGCAGACCTCCCTTCCTGCCAGCAGAGGGCAGAGTTCATCTGTGCAGTCAATTGTTTTGTCGGGAATCCGGAGCAATTTTGCAGAGCGGTGATGCCAACAGTGGCGTTTGTTGTGCCAAGCGCAGTCCCGCCCCTCGCCGCCAGGTTTTAAGAACACTTGGTAAGAAATTTGCGTCCACTGTTAAACCAAAAGTGCGCTGAAAGCCAGCTACATCCTTCATCATTTTGCATAACATGCCATTGCCATCTTCACAGCGGTAATAGTCCACGGGCCAGAATTCAGAACTTTGCACGCAAGGCTGCAGCTTTATGTTCCTGGCCCCAGACCAGTGTTGCCCCACAGGGATATAAAAGCTTGCAGCAGTCTCAGTACAAACATATCTGTCATTTAGTACTAGGACATCATGAAGGAAGGTAGACACTGTCCTTGGTTCACTTGGATTCTGGAGGTGTCACATTTAAGGCTAACCTGTGCTTTGCCCTACAGGTTTCCTTTATTGCTTCACTTCCCCAGCAACACAACCCACTTCTTCTCTCTTCCTCCCCCACTCCTGGTACTTCCAGCTATGGACGGGATTGTGATGTACTTCATGAGACAGAGCTGGTCCAATCACCAAGCACCAGTGCTGCCCCAAGGGGGAGTCCATAGGCCTGGGTAAGCTACACCCTATGCGGCTTTTAGGTTACACGGGGCGGCAGCTCCTGCTTTTTTTCCAGCAGCCGAAGGGTTCAGTGGTGGAGTGAGGGAAAGGTGGGTATGTGCAGCTGGGTAGGGGGTCCTTAAAGTGAACCTGCTGCTTTGCCTGCATGGGTAAAGCCCAGGTTGATTTGAAGGCCTACTCTAGTACTCTGTTCACCTATCCGAGGGGGAGACAACCATGGCACTCCAGCTGTGGTGAAACTACCAATCCCATCATTGTTTCTAGTCAACCTTGTTGTCAGACTTGCAATGCCTCATGGAATCACCACAGCTGGAGTGCCGAGGTGGTCTACCCAGACTTCCCCTGGTAGTTCTAAGAAGATAGGTCATTCTCTATTGAATAGAGCAAACTCTACCACAACCTAACCTTCCATATTGTCACCTCGCCCAATGTTAAAGCCAAGTAGTGCTCAACCATGGCTGGATTTTACCTTTCATGGGCCCTAGGTACCCCCAAGTGGCCCCCACCACCTCACTTTACATAAGTGGCTCTCTCTCCCCCTGATCACACAGTGCAGCAGTAGCCAGGCCAAATGCCTTGATCATTTCTGTATAGCCCCAATGTGGGCAGAAAATGTTCACAGATTGGGCAGCCATTTTGGGGAAGCCTGTGTTTCAATAAGATACAGTGCTTTCCCATGGCCTACAAGGGTGCTAGTAGGGAGAAAGAAGCTCTGTATTGCTAAAAAGGAGGACATGGGTAGCTTTTCTTCTTTACTCCTGGACACTAATCACATGACCAAATGTGAAATTTAACCCTTCAACTTGTATACAATAAAGTGGTCATTCACAGGGACAGTGGCTACCTTACCTTCCCCTTTACAGCCTCTCATTTCCCCCCAAAAATCCAAAACATTCATTATTACTAACCAGCAGTTCCAATCCCGGACCCCAATTCCTTACCATCTGGAAAGGCGGAGGTTTGCACTGAAGGCAGCAGAGGGCATCAGTGCTGAGCCTACAGATGGTTCCGATTCTCAGCATCTGCAAATGGTTGTTTTGGTAGGGGGCCCCTTTTTTTTCTCTCCAGGTCACCTCCTTTCACCATAAGCAGATCCACCCCGCAGGCAACCAATAGATTGTGATCCTGGTCACCTGATCTATTCTAAGTAACCCTTCACTTTCCCAAAAAACTCGCAAGTATCACAACGTTCACCGAAAACATCAGTTCTAAGCATTAATGGGAAGCGACCTCCTGATCCACATGATTAATTAAGACATAGCTTTGCTGCAGACATTCATTCATATGCAGCTGCATTGCCCTGGGTCGTGTGCGGCTCGGCACAATATGGCCGATGTGACGCAAACAGCGCGGCGTAACGGCAGCGGGAAGATCAAACCGGAGTCAGGAATTATCATCAGAAAACACTGAACTTTCCAGCTCGCTTGATTATACATTGCATAACCCGGGCCAAGCAGCAGAATTCTGTTTATTGCAGTCAGGTCAGGGAAAGATGACTTCTGATTGGCTGCTGCGGGTTGATGCATCATAAGTCCAGTTGTGTCTTCTTCCAATTCTCTGGCTCTTGTTTCCTATCTACCAGTCTTTACTTAGCATTGAGCTGAAACTGCCGCGAGACCCGGCTGTAGACTTGCAGAATGCAGACCATCGGCCCGTTTGTATTCACTGCAGTAAGGTAAAGCGATCTAATATCTATACATATCACATGACTTAGCCTTCCAGTATAAAGAAAGGTCAGGCTCATGGCGACTGGCATGCTTCATTTGAATGCAAACGCAGTGTTGGACAAATAAAGGCTGCATTGGTCCTGCTTTGCCTGCAGTTCAATAAGACATGCTGTGTCCAAAAAAACGCACCGCGAAGCCGGTCCAACGCAGACCCTGAACTGTCACGTGTGCTGCTCCTTTGAAGTCAATGGAATGCTACTGATCTGCCTTTCACATCAAACGCACGTTAACACGAGCTGACAGTTTGTGATGTCTTCATAGGTCAGTCAGGCACATGTACGAGGATATTAAACACATTGGGACCCATGTGGTCCCTGTTCTCAGCATTGTAAAACGTAAGCAAAGCTCAGCAACCTCCTTCCTGCTCTGTTATCTATACAGTCAGCCCGCTTAAAGTATAAAACTCTAGCAGAATTGTTGTGGTTTTCGTAGATAATTGGTCAAATGTATTTTTTTTTACTGTTTTGGTCCCATTGGGGAAATTTCCCTTTACTTCCTGTCCCGGAAACAACAGCGAGTGGAAGTCTCTGTAAAGTGAAGTGACAGTTGTCACCTGAACTGGTTTTCCCATTGTAAAATGTTCCATTTCCTCTCACTTCTTGTCCCTGTGACAATAGC